CAATAATAGATATCGCGCACGTTATGCAAGGTCGTCGGTTTTGCTGCAATGGTCGACCGCGGAAATACCAAAGGAAATTACAAAATCAAAAAGAACAAAAATCGAAGAAACTGTTTAGAGTCTGCGGTGGCGAGCGCACCTGCAGAGTACAGAGTCGGCGGTCGTCCGTTCGTCGTGATCGTCCGTGGCGTGTACGTTTCTAAGGTACCTATGTGTTCAATATTGTAATATACGTATAATATACTACATTATAATATGTATCATAATGACAAGGCCGAGAACCAGTTTTTGTGCGCGGCCATTGGCGATCGCCGTGTACTTGTTGTGTGTACAAAAATAATAAATAATCGGTGTGGCGTGTCGTGGAAAATTGGATATGGCATCGGGAACGGATGTGTGGAAAAAAAAAAAAAAATCGGTTTTTCGAGATCCGCACCGGACGCGTGCGCGAGCGCCCGCACTTGCTCGTCTGACCGCACTGTAGTAATAATGCAATGCGGTTTAGCCGTTTCGACGACCGTTGGCGTTTCGTGGTCCGAATTCTCGCGACTTCGTTGCCCGGTAATGTCATTATAATTCTTGATTTTTTTTTTTCTGGTGTACCTTTGTGCGAGGAGAACACACGTATTATTATTGATATTACGTGTCTTACACGTACACGTTCGATGTGTCTCGTATAATGTATACCGTTCCCGCATACGAATTCGATTACGTTCGTGATCGAGTCGAACGACGCGTGTCGTGCCCCGTGATGCACTGAAATACTGAATTACCTATAGTATGTCTCTTGTCGATGTTTAATAATATATTTATATAGGTACGACTTGTACACTGCAACTGTCACGTCTGTTATCTTGTGGCGCTTCCAGACCAGTTCATATAGGATGGGAAGGAGGGGGGTGGTTTGAAAACTAAAGTTTTAAACTCGATTTTTGCATAATATTATAGTTTTAAATTGCTTATTATAATATATATATATATATATATTTAAAAACAGTATGAATAAAAAATATTTTTACTTAAAATTTGATGGTAGGTTAAATTACTTTAATATTATAAATGACAGAGTAAAATCCCATTTAAATACAACAATTTTCACTACGCTTTAAAACAACAAAATATCTATATTATTTATTATTAGTAGGTAAATATAGTATGCATTAGAAACCAGAAACCAGAAACTAGGAACTGTTCATTTACAAAAAAAATCTAGCATAAAAATTAAAAATATTTGTAAAAATGTTATGAAGAAGTGACTACTCCTTCGCCTTCCTTGAATGCACCCTTGCTAACATCATATTAACATATGTCTACGATATTTGTATCTGAATAACATATATATAACTTTAAAAAAAATGTCTCTTATCTTCGTTATTTTTCTGTAATATTTCGGAATAGAATCGTTACCATCATTATACAATAAATTTATTTGAACCAAAATTGTAAATGACATAACTTTAAAATTGCAACGGCATCCTTAAATTTTTTTATTAAACTGAAAAAAAAAAATTAAATTATAATTATTTATTTTTTTGAAACTAATTAATTAGTTTTTTTGTATCTCTTGAATAATCTGTATTTTTTCGTAGTTTCGTGATATTATTGATATTGCATTAATGACAAGTATCAGAAAGTTTTCTAACATAATGGCAATAGAAAAATATCATTTATAAGCGTTAAATTTTGTTATTAAGCTTGTTTTTTTTTTTTTTTTTGTAAAAATATCATTATTACAATTTTTAACATCCTGATTTTTTTCCGCATGGATTTCGTTGATTTCGATCAAAAGTTATTTCCATATAGATCGACAATAAGTAAAAGAATATTTGTGTGTTTAACAAAAACCTAAATTTTATTTTATTTATTTTAGGATTACTAATATATCGATATTATCTGCTTATTCTAGTGATATCCATAAATCATCAATCACCACAAGTAATTAAGGAATTTAGGATTAAATTTCCGTCATCGAACGACACGCAAGTTATGTTTCACGCAAATATTGTAGCATATTTAGTTTTGTAAGCCACCATTTCAAACGGTCGTGTAACCATAAATAACCAGTTTCCTATTAGCCATATTATGCGCCGTTGCATTCCATTTGGTGTCTTGTGAAGCTTCCTTTTCCTCCTTGGTTCTTTCCTCGCCAACACCACGCGTCTCTACTACTAGTGCACCATATTCATTTCCCTTCGCCGCTCGCCTATGGTTTATATAACATGAACTTGTTACGTGTATATATGCAGGCGTATTTATAATACTACTACTCTGATAGTTATGTGTAGCGCTGACATCGACCTTTCGCCCATTATACATAGGTACCTACATGTAATATATAGTACATCCGTAGACGATACATAAACGTGCGTCCCTCATGACGCTTTGTCATTTCAATGGGCCGCCTACATGATAATAATAATAATAGTAATAATAATAATAATAATAATAATAATAATATGTATCTTGTCGGATCTCGTTTGTTAGAGTTATACGGGAAATAAAAATAAGATAACATCTAAAAAATCATTAATTTAAAACATAAAATAGGTACTATTGTAGAAGTATTATAAATTTTATAAATTAGCGTTTTGTGCGACAACGGTATAAATGTGCATTTGTGACAAATCGGACTTGGGATAACGCAAAATAATTAAATATAAAATATTATTATGATTATATTGTGATAGACATGTTGCGTTACAATTTTATTTTGTGTTAGTAGTTAGTTGTATCCAAAATTTTTTTCACATAATCGCAATTTGATATGACTACAGTATCATATATGTATGTGTGTGTTTTTTTTACTTAAAACCCTAGACTCTAGAGTAATATTATATTAATGATACTGACTATACTGAGCATTGAAGATTAAATTAAAAAACTTACAATAACGAATAAGGTGATGAAATTACTGGTTGTTAATTTTGGTGAATAAAAATGTGTATTTATTCATTTAGTTTATAGATTAATGGAAAATATAATGTTAATAAATAACATAAAATTATTAATAAGAAATGATAAATTTAAATTAAAATATTAACAATGTATTACTTACAACTAAATAAAAAGCAAATAACGCAGCTTGGGGTACAAAAGAAAACAATTATTGAATGGATCAGATAGTTATTACAGTATTCTGAGTACAATTAATTTGCTCTATAGGTAGAGATAAAAATCTGTTAATATATCGATATAGTCGCATTTAAATTACTTGAAGGTAAATATTTGGTACATTTTAAAGTTTGATTTTCTTGTTACTTAAGTTATATATATTTTTCCATTTTTAAGGAAAAATGTTATATTTGAAATTATTAAATACACGTAACTGTCTATAATATGTATGTTTGTACACACATTTACATACCTACTTTCCGGTTCAACCAGTATTTTAACCGTTAAGTCTCGTTTGAAAATGTCAAATATCTATTATAATTATTTAGGTACTCGGAAAAATTGTACTATAAAATGACAATGGTGATACATTTTCAAAAACGTTATATACTCTGAATTCAATTTTTTTTTTTCGTGATATATTATTATTACTTAAGTAAGTCAGTAATAAATAAATAAATATATATTGCATCTCTCTGAGGCCTCTCTAGAATGAACAAAAAGTATGTGTATGAAGCATAAATCATAATTATGATGGACAGTGACGAAGTTTTTTACATACAATTTTTAAATTCTTAAAATTGCAATGTTGGTAGATAGATATTATTAGATTGAAAAATCTGGTTGAACTGGATAAACGTGTAATTTTTTTCTTTAAAATAAAAAAAAAATAAATTATTTTCTGTATCGATATTGGATTTCTTAACTCCCCTAAGATATATAAGTTGTTTGATTAATCAGCTATCGAAAGAAATCTTGTATGCAATTTAAAAATAAGGTACCAAGAAATTATTAATGTCATTTTTAAATGAGGTTTATGACCTTTTAATTAAATATTATGTTAGTAAATAAGATTTCAAAAAATTAATTAATCTTATAATGTATTATCAAGTTATTTTACGAAATTCAATACCTATTTGCAATAATCACATAATATATTAATTTGACTTTAAGCTTATATAATTTAGAATATACAATAATTAAAAAAGTATTTATTAGATGTCTATAGTGTTTACTGTAAAATAGTTATAGTTTATAATATATTATTTTTATTATTATAGTTTCATTTGCTACCTATAAAAATAACAAATAATAAACATAGAGTGTTACAGAAATAATTATTAATAAATAATTTTTTAAATTACCTTAAATTGATTATTATAAATTATTATTTGTACAGCATATACTTAAATATTATTTATATGACGCAAATTTTATTAATTTGACAAAAATAATCTAGTGAAATTAATATAAGTTTTAATACCGATTGTCCCAGTGAACATAACTATTTTAAGCTTTTACTTATGCGTTATTTATATAATAGCTAATAATAATAATAATATATTATGTGTTATAATCAAATAACAAATTTTACAAAATATATTTTTAATTGATCGGTTGAGTAATGAAATCATGAACTATTTAAATACTTAATAAATACACATTTTTATAATCGAAATTGATTAATAAGGACTTTAAAAATGTTGAAAAATATACAACAAATCATAAGTCATAAGTTATGAGTTATTATTTTGTTTTGTATACCAACATTTGTAGTTAACATATTATGAACATATAAAACATTGATATATTACAGCATATGTAGTACGTGATATGCAATGCAACTAATTTTTAACACACAATTCGATGAATATTTTGGATAGAAGAAAAAAAAAATTAAAAAAAAGAAAAAGAAAATATTCTGTTATCTTAAAATTGTAAAATAACCATCGTAAAGTCTTCGCACTAGTAAATTCACGCCTATACCTGTATACATAATGAACTTGATTTTTTTCTAACCTTTAAAGTATAGAATAAAATATATTGTGTGGCTTAAAATTACGATATAACAACAACGATAACGATAATAGAAATAATATTATGCTCACCGTGATAGATCAGGCATTGGCACAGACACCAGCAAATGGCAAGGTACTCGGCAAATCCGAGACTCTTCATCGTATCGCAAGGTATAGATTATACTCTTTCGTCGATTACGGAATACGGTTTGTGCTCGCTGGAGTATATATAAGTATACAGTTTCAACAATTGCACATTACACTGTCCCGATGTGTGTATACAGTTTTAAGTATTAAAGTATTGTGTGTGTATGCCGGTTTTAAGGTTATAGCGATGAAAACTAGAACTTCGATGCACGATGCAACGCCGGGCACGTTTATTTAAGTGTCTCGGGATAAGAGAATTACTATACTATATACGATTCGCGTGCCGGTCGTCCTCCGCAGAGTGTGAGCGCGAGACTGCGCGTGTGTTATATCGTACTGACTGATAGGTACGACCGATACGATGCACCTGGAGCAGGGCCACAACCTACTGACTCCGTTCTAGAAAATACCGGCGGCAATGAACTGGGCACACGAAAAAACGTACGAAACGAAAAAATGCAAGAGAGGAGAAAGGCGGTAGATGCGGTACGACAGAAAATATAAGATAATAATAATAATAATAATAATATAGTCGCGTATCGGGACGGCGTGTTAGTGTGCGCGTGCGGCGGAAAAAGCGATCGGCCGGTCTGCGGAAGGGGAACGCGCACGGCGCTCGAAGATGCAACAGCAGCAGTGGTCTTCATTTCTCTCTCTACAGCTGCTGCACCAGCGGCCGTCGTTCATTTCTCCTTTTATCATTATTATTATTATTATTATTTATTATCCGTCTTTCTCCGCGATGTTACTCCTAGGTACTGCTATTATCACGGCTAATAGGTTATACACACAAACGCTTAATGAAAAATAGACAAATGTAATATATATATATCTCGGAATGTTTCGGACGTTTCCTCCCTGCGCCTCACTTCCGACGACTTCGGTTTTGTGATTTGATGTTATACGTGCGCGAATAATAATATAATTAATATATAATATTATTATTATTACTGTCACCTCCGTGACTATAGGTCGTCTGGTAAAACGTACGTTATTTTTCTATCAAAGTAAATGCGTGGTAAAAAACAATTGTGTTGCAATTTGAAAGCTGTACTATAATTATATTTATATTATGCTCTGTTCCGTGGTGGACTTAACCTTCCGCAAAAATCAAGCCACACTTGAGACTACCCGTAGCTCTACGCGCGTTTAATTACACACTGCTCCAAATGTCGAGCCGTATTCTTTTTAAAACGAATATAATGTTATGAACTGCATACAATAAAATACTGTGTAAATAATGTGTACCAATAATGCACGGTGGTGCTGTACTTCTAATAATGAACTGGAAAAAAATGAAAATGTAATGGACCTTGATTTTTTTTTAAACGATCACAAATCTACATTTTTACTTCATACGAGAAATCGATTTATGAAAATCGAATCTGTTTAGCGGGGTAACATCAAAAGAAAACCTAACGCAGTGGATAGTCTAAAATGACTATTTTTACTCTACTGATATGTATAGTATATATATATATATAAATAAGCTAGTAATTTATTTGTTTTATTTATTGTATTATAAATAGGGCCTGCAAACGTTATAAAGTTATATTTGACAAAAAACGATGGAAATTTGTGAACGTAATTATAACGGAAAACGATAAACATAAATGATTAAATAACACGAAAACAATAATACATAACGATTAAGAAAATATATGATATATCATCAAACAAAACACAACGAAAAACGGTATGTGTAGTATATCATTAAACGAAATAATTAAATTCCAATTATTTAATAATTATTATTTAAAAAATGTATTAAAAATTTTAACTCTGAATAAACGATAAACGCAAAAGTTGAATAACGTTTAAATTCTGAACAACGTTAAATTCAACATTTATGTAACGTTTTAATTGTATAAATAACGTAGATACATATAACAAATATTTATTTTTTTTCAAATGCAAATCCTGATTATAAATGAGCAATGTCCAATTATACAAATATAAAATGTATGTCTAGTGTTCATAGAGAACAGTTGGACGTGTACACGCGACTATGACTGGCTAATTTATAATTTAATTTATAGAACAGTCGTCGGATTATAACAGTATACGCACTAAGTTTACATTAATAAATTACTTAATATTTAAACAATATTATAACTATAAATTAAATCAAAGAAACACAACAGGTTTATGAGTAATTAATAATAATTAGTATAGGTAATAAAGTATTATTTAAGTATGATCATACTTCTCCGTCTCTTCTTTGATTTTTATGTTCCTTATTTTTCATCACGTAAGACGTATTATTTCTCTGTATTTCAGTTTATAGCCCTTAGTAATCACGATGTAAATGACAAAATATGTTGAATTAATTTTCTGTTATTCTTAATATTGTTTTTACTTAATTATCAAGTGTATTATAATAACTGTAATTTTTATCATTATATCATTCCATACTTTTAATAAATAAAATAAATTATTAAGTATTAATTATCTAATTAAACTATTGAGGTATTGATTGAAAGAATCGGAGCATTTTTTGATCATAATTTGAATACTGGAAGAACATTTAAAAGGTATTTAATTATAAATTATAATATTGCATATGATTTAGTCTTAACTTTAAGAATAAATATTGATTTATTTCTTATTTCCATTCCTAAACCTAAGTAATCAAATAATAATATTCTGACATGACTAGCAACTAGTCGTTGGCTCAGCCACATGAAACAAAAAGATGATCAGGCTATGGTTCTAACTAAACAAAGATTGGCAATGTATTAATAAATTAACCTAATCTAAACACATTAAATAAATATACTTATTATCTGATCTGAATTACTAAGTTTCTTCATTTTTAAGTGTTTTCGTGTCTAATAAATAACACAAAAATGTCGAAAATATTCCATTAATAATATCCTATAAATATTAAAGACTGTGCATAATGATTTAAATTAATTTAAAGATATAAAATTATAAAATATAGGTAAGTAAAATAGATATTTTACAAAATAAGTATTTATTTTGAATTTTATAAATCTAAATGCTAACATTTAGCTGAATAACATCATGAATTATATAAGTAAATATGTATACGATGTATATCATTATAAATATTTAAAATAAATTACAAACTTTTATACATAATATTCATAATAATTTAAAATAATCTATCAACATTTTTAGATACTTGTTTACAATGGGTCTGATGAATTAAATTAAACTTATAAACATTGATTTAAAGCTTTGCAATAAATTTAAAAAATATTCAGTTATGTCTATTAATTAACTAATATTAGTATTGTATATACTAATAGTGACATGAACATACCTATTACAATTACCTATTAGTTATTACTACATTAATAGAGTAATGTGAAAGCTTAGTCCAGATATTCGGGTCAGAGCAAATTGAATTATTAACAGGATCATTATTAAGACTATCTCTTTTGGAGATGAGATATATTATGTACATACTTTTAATTTGATATAAGCTTTCTCTATCAATAATATTTAAACAGTTATGATAAGCCAATACATTGAATTATTAAAATATTTACCGATGTTAAATGAAATTATAATGCACGTTAAGTCATAAATTAATAATAAATTTACTTTTATAGCTATGGGTATAATGCTTTCTTGAGTACTTAGAACTGTTTGAAATTTATCAAAACTGTACGGAGTAATATATATGTATTAAGTATTAATAGTATTTATGCAATATACTATGTACAGAAGCCATATTTTAAACCATCTAACGGATAATCCAAACAGATATATATTTAAAAAAATTATAATATTAATATTAAAATGACAATTATTTTCTTTTATATTATTATGAACTATTATTTTTAGTACTTTAAAATTTGATAACTTAAAAAACCACTTGTTAAAATTTCTATTATGTATATATAAAAATTTTCAAAAATATCATGTCCTTCAAAATTTACAATGAATTAATGATTCTCATTTGTTAAAGTTTGTTCCAAAATACTAGGATTTTCTATATTATTTTTTATAAAATCTAAGTACAGGAAAAATGATTCTTAAGTATATTTAGAAATATACCAAAGTCATAAATAAAATACATTTATTATGATAGGAAAAATGGGATTGAGAATGCTTGGTGAAACAATCTGTTTATATATTGGTGTAACTAAACATAAAAAGTTAATAATAATAATAATAATATAGCCATCATACATCATATTTAAAAAAAAAAGGAAACAAAAGGAGAATAACACGATTTTTTTGCTCATCTATATATAGGTTCACGTGAACCCACGACTTTAGATTCAAAACAAATTCTCACGATTTAAATAGTAAGGAAATTGCATACTTTCCCTAATGACACATTTAATTTTTTAAACATATATTCTATACTATTGTTGATTGAAATAGTATGTCAACAATTCATTGTCAAATACTTTACTGGTATTTAATATTTATATACGTTTTATTTAAATTGTTTAGATATATAGAATCATATTTAAGTATATAAATAATAAATTTATTATTATTTTGTTTGCTCAAGCAATAAGTGATTTATTTTATTGGTAAAAATTGAAGAGATAACTGAATTTTTAAGGATAATCTCCGATTTCGTTAACAAAAATTCATAATTATTTGAATATGTAAAAAATAATTGTTTTTTATTTCCGCGAAGTATTGTTAAATTAATTTATTTTTAATTGCACTAATTCCATCAATTATGAAGCTTATTTATTTTTCATGAATATTAAGATTAGAAGATAATTTAATTTTCCAATGCATGCATACAATTTTATAATAAAACCTATTTTATTGTTGTGTTTATACAATAGTATGAAAGTTTTCAAGCCTTTAAATCAATACACTCATTCTTCGATGCACGTATATACAACAGTACGTAGTTAAGTACATAATTTAAATTAACCATTGTCTATATACATCAATTAAAATACATGTAATATGATAGTATGAACTTGGCTCAATTTATTCAATTTTTAGTACTGAAATTGGCAGTTTAAATTACTTATTATTATGACCTGAATAACTGAAGTTCATAAAATAATGTTAGAGGGTCGTTCATTTCCTGTTTCTAACGGTTCAGATCAATTGAGCAAATAAAATAAGTGAATGGTATACTTGAATTTTCCATAATATTTTAATATTATTTCGATTTAGATTAAATAGCTTAGATAAATTAATTTAATTTAAATTATAATGCGTACATTGATTTTTCGAGATGATTTATCTTTTGCTTGTTTTAAGTAGTATAATTTATATATGATATATACAATTATCCTACTTCTTGTATTATTTGAGAAAAAAGAAGCTTCAACAGTTTATTTAAAAAGTTTATTTAAAATCGATTATAAGTTATGATTAATAACGGACTAATTACAGTTTCAGTTTTTATATTATACCAATATCAGTACACTTTAAATTTTAAATTTAAACTTTATTGCAGGAGTTATTGAGTTATAGACACAGCAGAACACTAGAA